GATGCGTGCCATAAAATAAGGGGCATAACAATTTATTTTCAGCATCATTTGCAAAAATAATTAATGACTTGATCTCCTTCCAAACCTTTCCAACACCAACGAGCTAACTCTAGCTTATCAGTAATTTTACATGTCAGAGCTGAAATAAACGACCTAATATGGCCGGGAATTAATGTCGAAGACCGAAAGAGTAGGAGTTTGCAAATGCCAGTGTCTCAACTTCTCTTTATCATCTTTAATTCAATGTTTTGCCCCATTCTTAAGATTGAAATACACTGTCCATTATCCTTGAATAAATAAATTGCTCCTGTATGCCCGATTCTACATCAAGCAACTTTCTTGGCATAGCAACCCCTCACAGTAGGGTGATTAAGCCACTCGGCTTAATACGTTTTTTTTATAAATTGGTACCTTTGCGAACTGTCCAACCCTCCGATCGACTTTAAGAACATGTTTTATGGCCGTTTTCATTCTGCACCTACTATACATTTTCGGATTAATTAGCCAGTCTTGGGGAAAAGCGGATAAACAAACTCGAGATACCTCGGCGCATTATCATATTTCTTATTCTTAATGAAAATCGACGGAAAAATGGCCCTTAGCTGAATGGTAGTGTTGTATTCGATAGCCAAAGGTCCCTGTTCGAACCTCGAATGCCGCATATTTCTCCTCTGCTGGCTCGATCGCCCACTGCATATCTCGATTGACCTTGCCTGTAAACTGGCCGCAAAATACATTAACAGTTATTTCAATAAAAGGGGATTCGTTGCGGTTAAACTTGGGAAGTTCTTCATCAGGTCGTTGAGATTCAGCAGTGAGCATGCCGCCGATGAAATGTGCCGTGAGGAAGTCTATCTGGATGTGTGAGTATGTATCGGCCACCATGTTTTACTTATCGTTGTCATGTTTGACGTCGTAGGAAAAGTTAGAAATTTAGTCCACGTGGTCATGCTCGCGAAGCGTGTATCGATCAGCAGTAGCAATTGGAGCAAACACGAGTGTTTGTGATCCATAAGCGCGACTTATTCGTGACTCTCCGGAAACTTTGAAAAAGACGGTTGGTTAGGTGGATGGAAAAACATTTACGGCTAAAGACGCTTTACCGAGTCGCTGTCGGGCTAGGCTTGTAGGTCCTTGTACGTTTCCTTTTTAGGTGTGTACCTGTATTTGTTTATGTGCACTAATTTTGTACATACTTGTTTGTTGGAGTATACCCCTTTTCCGCAACTTGGTTCGGGTGCTGATTCTACGTGGTTGAGAGGTTTCTCACTTTGTCGTGTCTGCTAAGCCATGTGAATTGTGTACTTGAAAAAAGGTCCTAATCGAAGCCTTCTCTCTTTAAGCGCACCATCAATCGTGGTGACGATCATCGCTGAACCGGACGACTAAATTTGGCTAGTAACTTTGGGCACTTATTTTTCATTGCAAGTCATCTTCCTGGCTACTGCTGAAGAAAAGCGTCCGGATCCAGTGAGTTTTATCGTTACCTTTTATATCATTGTTTATCAGTTTTTCTAAGTTTTGCTATCGTCATATTTTGTAATAGTTTAATTACTACTAGCTTGTTACTATGCTTGACAATTTTGCGTTTCACATCTTTTAACACGTTTTATACGGGTGTTGGATTTGATCCTTCATCAGATGCAATAACTGTAAAGTGTGGTGAACTAAGGAGGAAGCAGCGAAAGAACACCTACTATGAAAGCGAGAGCAGAGTTCAGTGGACCGCCACTTTATAAAAACGAGAATGGTCAGAGGTGGAGCTATCATGTATGGATTAAGAGTGGCATAAGGTCGATCTGCCGGAGTGAGAGCGTTGATCCGTGCAAGCTCAGGGTTAGAGTTAGCGCGAAGGCCGTGATGGCCCAAATGCAAAAGTGTTCAGGTAAGCGACCAATAATATGCAAGTCCTGAAGTTTAACAGCAACCACCCTATCAGTCACAAATGCAGTTGCGTAAGAGCGCTGTACCGGCGCTTGGAGACACATTGCGGCGAAACAGAAGACAAAGTTGCTGGTTTACAGTATCTTCGATGGGTACTGAGAACAAATGCTGCTCGTGCAAATTTGTCAACCAGTGCATAGGTGAACGGGACAAGAGACCAAACCCAACTGGCCCAAATGTTTTGCGAGTTCTTCCGTACGTGAAGTATCAGAAGCAGTCAGCAGGCTGCCCATTCTATGTGGAATTAAAAGTGCACACAGGCCGGAAGCAACCATCAGGCGCCGGTTCATGAGTCTGAAAGACCCATTTTCATGGCAGGAAATGGCCGCAGTCGTTTAGCGATTCTAGTGCAGCTGTGGACAAAGAAACTTTGCCGGAAAAACCATGAGATAAATCCGGACGCAAATGGTCGAGCAAGCAGCAGCGGTGGGGAGGGAAAACGAAAACTCCCGAGTT